GCTGCAGCGGGTGGACGGGACACCCGAGAGCCACGGCCACCCCCAGGGCCCCGGCAGGGCGGAGGGCACAGCACGTGTCTCCTCCGGAGGGGCTGTGCCAGCCGCGTGGGCGAGCCCGGGCCATTCCCATCAGAGCCGGACAAAGCGGTGTACAAAAACACAAAATAAAAGGGAAGAGGGGGAAAATGACCCTGAAGGGCTCTCTAATTTGCAGCGCACTCAGGGAGAGCGGCTTCCCAGGGAGGGGAAGGCGTTCAGACACGTGGCACCGGGAGCTGCTGTTAACGCCTTCCTGCCGGGCACTGCGGGACAGCTCCGGGCTGCTCCCAGTCCCTTCCCGGGGGCAGCGTGGGAGAGCCGGGTCCTGCAGTGCCCAGGCCAAGAGGTCACCCAGCGGAATTCCTACAGCAGGAATCCCGGCACTTGCTGGGCTACAGCTCCCGTTTTAACGTAGGAAGCTGTTGTGTCTTCTGCACCGAAACAAAAGAGCATCTCCCTCTTCTGCGAGACTTCACTCAATGTCTGTTCTAATCAGGTGCCTCCTAAAAGGGGGACTTGAGCAGAACAGTGGCTGCTGTGATTGGGGTCAGCTGGAAGCTGGAGGCAGCTGGGTTGCAATGCTGCTTAAAAGAAAATCAATCTCCTTCCTGCCGCTGTAAATGGCAGAGCCGTCAGGATTTTCTGCCCTTAATTTGCCATAGTAGATGGGACCATATTCAGCTCCATTAAAATCAGAGCCTAAAGTCAAAGTGGGGCTCAGGCAAAGGTGTGCAGGAATTAGTGAATGTCTGAGGCCTCTGCAAATGACGTGACAAAACCAAGGTGCAGACACTGGTGTTAAAATTCAGCCCCTTTTTATCGACAGGGAGAAATCTGGCACTGAGGGGATGGGTTTGGAGACACCCTGCTCATCCAGAGAGCAGGGCTGGGGACAATGGGAAGACCCAGCACTGTGCTCTGATCCCAGCACAGCCAGACCCCCAGCTCCCCCTCAGCTTCCCCCATGTGCTGCTGGGGGGTCCCTGGGGAGGGTGGCACTGAGAGCAGGCAGCTCAGAGACAGGGTCATGCCCCCTGGGGCCTCCCAGCCAACACCCTGAACAGGGAGAGCATCTGGGACCTCAGGCTTCAGCACTGCTGGTCTGTGCTGAAAAATAGGTGCTGCTGAGCCATGATCTGGGGCTGGGACATTGGGTGT